AATATTAAATAAGAGATCAATCATAATTTTTTAAACAAGTATAATTTTTCACATAGAATAAATCATCCTGCAAAATAATTTAAATAAAAAAATCCACATGCGCACACCGTACTTTGTAGAAACACTTCAAAAATGTATTACTACAAATTTTTTGTAAAAATTCTACCAAGTTAAAAACAAATAAAAAATTAATTTTTAATAAATAGATGGTTTTCATGTTAAATGAAGGATTGATATCGTGCCAGTAATTTTATGCCATTTTATGCTATATTTATATTACAGAAGCTCACCCAACCTTGATGTACGTGCTTTTACTACGAATATTGATTTTTTGAAGCATTACATTTGCAAATTCAAAGACTAGAGTACACACAGTGAATGTAAGTTTTAATTTAGAATTTTATTACCAGACTCGATCAAATAAAATCAGTGATGTAAGCTATTCCATAAATCACTTGCAAGGTATTAACTTCACCTTTACCTATTAAAAAGGTAAAATTAATACCACTGGAATTGAAAATTCAAACAAAGGAATAGTACGTTAAACGTTATTCTTTCTTTTTTTANTTTCTTATATTTCCCGCGCTCGCCTTTAAGGGAGCCAATTTATGTCTTGTTTTGCATTTTTTATTTCCGCATTTCCCACTACTCGACCCTTATTAAAAAAAAAAAAAAAAAAAAGAAAAAGCTTAGCATCGTCGTCGCCAACGCAACGAAAGCCAAGAGCAATATATGTAATTTTAATTACTTTAACCTTTTAAAGGTTTTAAACTGATGTAACGTCAAAACACAGATAGCAATCAACAGCCATTCAACAAATCAATATCTATAAAACAGTGCAAACTCTACCATAAAATGAAAAACCAATGCAATAGTTTGTTAACAAGACACAAAGGTTTAGTCCGTTTTTTTTTTTTTTTTTTTTTATCCTCATATATTACATCGTATACACTTGTATTAACTTGAAATATACATATGGAAAAATGTTAAGCCTATCAAATATAACATATTCGTAATAATTTTTAAATTAAACCTTTGTGCAGAACTCCTCTAAGGTAATGTGAAAGCTCGATGATATGTTGATTTATATATACCGAACAGATGTTTAGTTTCCAATTCAAAGTTCCAAGCGCTATCAATAATTATAAAAATTTTTTTTGTTTTATTTAAATTTACATTTCAGTGAGAATGATATGTAACAAGCTCTCATCACTTGCACCGTTTTACATGTAACTCACGTCGATAATACCAAAAGCATAACGTAAACACAACAAAAACGTTAACAAATAAGTCTCTCATCTGTTTGAACAACACTTTGTTTTTTCGTGAAAAATAATTTTCTTTTTTTTTTTTTTTTTTTCCTTTTATTCTTTAAGTGAACTCTCACACTGCCCACTTAACGTCAACGGAACGATACCTCAAAACGGCGCGCGCGTGCTCGAACGCTACGATCAACACACACAAAGATATATAAACGAGAACCAGAAGAGAACTTCAGAAACAATAACTGTCATCAACTGCGTCAATTACCTGGAACTGCTGCATGGGATAAGCCATCATTTGCGCGGGTGGCGGGGGCGGGGGCGGCGCGGCCTGAACGCCAGGGGGCGCTGTCACCGTTGTCGCGTGGTGGGGCTGCAGCTGTGGCCCACCCGGCAAACCCTGGCCCCAACCTGCCGCCGTGCCTGCCGCGTGTACGCCCATACCTATTCTGTAATTTTAAAGTGGTTTTCACAAAAGGTTAGCCCAACTCTCGACAGCTCGCATCGTTTTCATGAAGAAACAACCCCGACAACCCCCTTTAACTTTTTAACCCTCGACCTGCCCACTTTAACGTTCAATGGTAAGTATACTGTCCCAATGGAAATTAATCGCAAAATCAGTAGTCTTTTTTTGTTTTAACAACACATGGACAACACATTGCATGTATATAGGGCGCGCAGGTGCGCCAAGTACTCACCCCATGTACTGAGCCTGCTGGTAACCAGCGAACTGTCCGTACGTGTATCCCTGCATGCCTTGCAAGAAACCACCGGCCTGCATCTGCGTCGCCGTCGTCGGATAAGACTGAGGTGGGTACCAGTAGCCAAGTTGTCCGGCACTGCTGACACCACCAACACCGCCGACCCCGGCTACACCCGCGGCTGCCGCGGCTGCCGCTGCCGCTGCCGCGTAGTACGGGTACGTCGCCGACGAAAGTGCCTGTGTACACACGGGGAACGAAACCTTTTTTTGTCATCTCAATTTTTTTTTTTTTCAACAGTGACGAGCGTCACCCAAACCCCTCGTGGTCTTGTAATTACAACTCACGCCGATCCTCGGGCGTCTAAAAGCGTCCCTTTTAAAACGTCAATTTGGCCCTTCTCGCTTGCCACGCTCCCGATTTATGTTTTTTGAAATCACGCGATCGGTTCAAAAATGTTTCACGATTACTCATTGGAAGCAAGCTATTTTCGACCGTACCCCGAGCGACGCGAGTACGGGATCAATGGTAACCCGATGAGCCTCTCAACCGCGTCTAGTTGGAATTTTTTTTACCGCTAATGGCAATAAGTATTCCTGGATAAGTCGATTATGCTCGAATCTGACGTGATCTTGCAATTGTAATGCCAAAAGTGCTCTGGAAAAAGCACGAGCTCAGGAGATGGTGCAAATTTAATGCTTGACCCTTTTATGGCGTGTAAATATCTGGTGTACGCGTCTTGCGGTAATTTAGCAAAAATCCGATCCATACTCGTACTCGCTCCAAATAACTTGGCCCGTGTGCGCAATGATCACAAAAAACCGAGCTACAATCGGTCCCACGAAGTTTAGGTGTCGAAGAAAAAAAAAAAAAAAAAAAAAAAAAAAAGAAAAGAAAATGGTCCCTCTACCGGTCGCAAATCCCGAGAAAGGAGAACGGTCTCGGCAGTGCCTCCGAGGCGTTTCGCTTTATCCATTATCCATTTTAGCGTTAGTGCCGGGGGCGCACACGGATACACAAGACAGTCGCGTAACGGGCGCCGATAATCGTAAAGTCCGATGGAAGTGGGCGCGATTTCTCCTTGGGCCGGCACTAATGTGGTCCAGGGTTTTGAGGGCGAAAGAGCCGGAGAGAGGGGGACTTGTCGGATGGGTATTAGCCATGGGTCTTGGGCGGGATTATACCTCGAACGAGCTGTGCCGGAGCGCGTTGATTCGGAGCTGGACTGTAGCTCTTTGGATTTGGAGGATCCGAGGGTGGTGCGATTCGGCGTTGGCTGCGCGTGTTTCGGTCGACTCGGGAGAATGACGGGGGAGCGGGGGAATATTGTTTTTGGGAGGTGATGAGTGCGGTGTTGTCGCGATAGGGGCTGGGGTGTCGTGGATTCAGGATTACTTGGCTCGTCGTGGCGGAGGCTCAGTGGGAAGGACAAGATGGTCATGGAAAATTTATCAAAGAAATTATCCTTTTTGGTTGGCTGTGAGATGGTTTTTGGCAATACGCTGATTTAATTTGCTGTATTTTAACACGCCGTTTAAAAATATTTGGAATATATTTTACGAATAAAATGGCACATTGAAAAATGATCAACCAAACTAATTATTTGTTGATGAAATCGGAATTTAAAAATATGAATTCCAAGTTTTTCGAGAACGGACATAGTATGAACAAAAACAACTTATTTTGCAGTATAATTTAGAAAAAAATATTATTTAAAATAAAGGTGTCAATCTTAAAAGGACCATTATTAGTTTTTTTACACCCAACGGAACAAGAAAAAAGTTCTTTTAATGCTTGAAACTCTAACATTTTTTTAAGTTTAAATATCTAGCACAATCGATAAAGTTTTGTTAATATTGATTGCACTAGTGTTCATTCATTTATTGCAAAGATTCAAACATCCATCAAACGATGACTCACCGAAAGTTATTAAAATTTTGTAATTGCCGTGTAATTTCTGATTGAAAAACGCGTGTACAAATATTTGAGAATGAAAAAGAAAAACCAGCCTGCCAACTAAAATTTGACGAAAGTAGCCGGTCAACCGTGACCGAAGTAAGAAATTTCGCAAAAAATGACGGCAAATATCTCGTCCGAGAACTTTCTCAAAATGAAAAAGCACCGAGCCAACGAGACCGTGGAAAAAGAAGGGCAAAAAGAAAAGGGGATCTCAGACGGAAGATAAAGGAGCATCAGCAGGGCTCGTATATTCACCTGTCCGGTCTGCTGGGCGTTGTTGGGATCGCCGCTCTCCTTGCCCCAGCTGCACTTTACCGTCTGGCCGTTGATGTCTGTGTTGTGAACAGCGACTATGGCGTGCGTCGCTGACTCCTTCGTGGAAAACCTGCAATCACGAGATCGTGCCCCCCATCGAATCAATCGTGTCATTAATTTATCTTTGCAACCCAATTCGCACATGTATATAATTATGACATGATGTTTTTCCCTTTTTTCATGCATACCGATTTACGTTTCTTCTCCTTTTTTCATTTAATCTATTCAGAAAAGTTTTTTTCCCCACAGATTATCGGGTGCACTTGCTCTGTGTCATGATTGTGTGGACTATTACTTTCACGCGTGTTTTCGTACCACCTTTTCTTGCTACAGCCACATACTTCATTTTCCTAATAAAAATATATTAGAACTGCACGACTGAAGAAACACGGAAAGTTCTAAGGTATTTTTAGGTGTGTCAATGAAATTACTTTTGTTGCATTTTTCAAGTAATTTTTTTTTAATATGAACCTCTGCTATTCATCCTTTTTTTATTTTAATATAAAGTTTTATCCAATGTAGCGTTTTTGTGGATGTGTGTGAATGAATCGATTTTTTGTTTGGACGTTTCTGGAGGATTTTAAATTTGGTGGTTATTAACAAACCACTTTATAACAAATCATTAACAATTTTTGGATTCAATCTACGATAAATGTATCGATAACCTTATTTATGAATAACCCTTGGGTGTCAATAAATATTTATTCAGTGGTAAATATTCCATTTTACGAAAACCTGCATATTTCACGTTTCGTTTTTAAAAATTTCTCAGTTTAAAAAAAATATTTTTTAAAATTTTAATACCAATCAGGTTACAAAAATGAATTAGATAGTTAAGAATAGTTAAAACGTTATGGCTGTAATAAGTACAACTTTAAAGTAGTCATTTTTAATGAGGCCTGGATGAAGTTCTAGTCTCAAATTCATTAATGTAAATATCATTTATAATACTCTCGAATTAAAAATTTAATTTGTAGTTTTTATAATTTAAAAATGAAACATTTTTTTTTTTTACTTGGATACTGTTTAAGTGTAGTGGCCCTTTAATTCGTCAAATTAAAAACTCCCGTGGCAAATACCTCCACAAAGTAATTAAATCTAGGCATTCGAATTACAGCGTTTTGTATTCTACTGGGTTAAGTATGTCATTAAATTACTGTGTTATTTTTCAATTACGAGGATAGAGTGCAAGAAATTTGTGTTCATAAATAATTTGCATCGTTGAAAAAACTAAAACATTTTATTCTGGAAATATTATTTTATAAGCTATTTATTGTAAAACTATCCGCAAATATTTAACCATCGATTAAGCAAACGTTTCGATGTTTGATTGGAAAATTTTTGTCTTTCGTTCACAATTACAAGTGGAAAAATCAATATTAGGTCAGACGGGCAGATGTACAGAAATTTATTAAATTACTGAAAAAAAAAAAAAAAGGATTTGAGTTAATGCTCAGTTTATGTGAGTAATTTTAAAAAATTCAACAATACCTAAAATATTTGAAGGTTAAAAAAATCCTGGAAAAAATTCTGTCACATCAAATCTACTTTGATTCGGAATTCATAAAGTTTTTATTTCAGTACAGCACAGACTTGTGACCGTGCAAAGCCTCATAAACTAACATTAAAAGGTACTCGATAAATACAAGCTTTGGTCGTACGTACGAAAATAAATCTCATCGCGAATAACCTGATAATTTTCAATTTTTTTCTTATCAACACAGCATATCTGCGACCGACATCTAATATTGCATTTAAAAATAAGTTAAAAATGGATATAATAACGCGAACCGGATAACTATTTTTCGTGCACACCAATAATATTTGTCGAGCTGCACCAAATTTCAGTGCCTCGTAATTTGTGCGGCGAGCTTTTTCTATTTCTCCAGCGTGGTATTGGCAATATATTATTTACGCTCTAGAATTCCCAATTGGAAGTAGAACGAACCGCGAGACCCCTCTTTTTTTCGAAAAGCAGTTGACTCGTACCACTTGACATTACATTTTTCCCATCAATTTCCGTTTCTTCATACGCGATTTTTCAGAAACCTCGTACCCATCATTCATCCGCTTCAACCTTGAGCGGATAACATTTAAAGGTCCCTCGTTTTCTTTTTCTCCGATACCACAAACACCACTCGACTCCTCCTTGCATCCGCGATCGAAAAAGCCAAGGGAGCGGAGAAAAAAGTAAAAACGATTAAAAGCTGGTACAGAGAGTCATAGGGCGGTGCACGAGATTATCTACGGGCGAGTGCAGAGGGAAAAAAGGCATCCGCAAATGAAAAATTTGCTGAAAACCGCGGGAGGGAAATAAACCGCTGGGTGAAAAAAAAGTGCACACGCCAGTGTGTAAGAAAGGGGAAAAAAAGCAAACGCATGAGGCTGCTATATTTACCGCGAGAGAGAGATAGCCTGTATTTATTGGACCCTTCAATTATGAGGGCAGAGCGAGGCGCCTCGCTCTTTCTCCCTCCGTTTGTTGGCGATCGGCCAAGACCCCAAGCGAGTGAAAACAGTTATGGACACGGAAAAAAGGCCCGAGTGGATCCGGAGAACATGCCTGCTGTATGAAGAAAAAAAAAAAAAAAAAAAAAAGGTTCAGGGGTAGTAAAACGCGTGGCCGCGAAAGTTGCCGATCCGCGCGTGCGACCATAACGTAAACACGTCGTTAGTTTTCGTCCTTTTGTGCGCATAAGCTCTAGAGTTGACGGAGTTGGGGGAAAAATTTCCCGTGTAAAGTTATCCCTCATCGTGGAGAAGGGTAATGAGTCGTCATGCGCGTAAAATTTGAAGGGGGTGACTGCGATTATGACGTGTATGTTTGCTCTATATAATGCATTTTTATTCGCACTTGGTTCGGTTGACGTCAGACGCGGTGAGGTTTTTAATGCTCTGTTGACATGGACCGGGAAATATCTTTTATTCTCTCTCGTTTATGTGCGATTGAATAAGTTTTTACGCAGGTTTGGTAGAAATTCATGGAGTTTCTTTTATGTCGTCTTAAATCATCACCTTTTACCTGAGTTTACGTTTTTAGAAAACTCGATTTAATAAAATTATTGTGATTATGCATTTTCATACGATTAGCTAAAAATGTCAAGAAATGATGATTATTGGAAACAAAAAAATGTTTAATATTTTATTTACTTAGAATGCATATTTTTTTTGTCAAGGTTGTGTACTTTTACAATATCTTTTAATGCTTTTAAACTTTGATATTATTTACAATATATTTATAATATTTATCCATGATAAAGTAAAACAACAAATTAATTTTTATCAATTATCGTTAATGACCAATTAATCATGACTATTACCGCGTCGTAATCTGTACCAGTTAGTAATAATTATATGAAGTAATCATATAGTTGATCTTAGCTGCATTTGATTTGATTACATCTCAACACCACTTATCATAAAGGTATTTAAAAAAAGCATTAATTTCATACAATTAAACACACAAAGAGCATTTTATTTCCTTTATCATATACATTTTCTGTATGTATCTATTTTTTATCCCACCCCAGCGGATATTGTTCGTTCATGGGGCCCACCTAACCTAAAAAACCAATGGAACCACAGTATTAAAAACAAAAGCACATTTCACGATTGAAAAAAAGCAGGTACACACTAATCTTCAAGGATTCAGTAACAAAAACATATATTTCCCTAAATCCGTCGTCAACCACACACAGGAGGACTGAAACCCCCCGAACATAACCAATAAGGAAATTGGAAGGGAGAAGTCCCCTTCCTCGGTCGAGTGAAAGCAGCATTTAAGCCGATGGGCATTGCGATTCCCGGCAAAATCATCAAGTATTCAACGCGGGTGGAACGCAATTAGCTCCCCTGCTACCCTAACCTATATACACCTCCCGTTACCGAAAACACGGCCCAAGCTCGAGGGAAGAGGGAGGGGGGAGGAGTGGCAAACGAGAGGGTGCTCTCGCTCGCTCTCGACAGGGCATGTCAATTCATTTCGGCTGTGTTTAGCATAACGAAACATCAAACGTCCCACGGCATTAATATACATTAGGATAAAGAGAAGAGAACGAGAGAAACCGAAGCAGGAAGAGGAGGAGGAAAAGGTCAGCCCCGGCTCTCCCAGGGCAGATGTGGCGCCATCACGAACAGAAGGAAAAGAGGGAGGGGGGTGATGAGACTGATGACCGAATTCGAATCCTCAGTATCCTCACGAGGTGGAGACCCCGCGACCCCGCGTGCTCTATTAATTCGCGAAGGAGCCGCTGGAGACGTACTATGTATTAGGCGATGTACACACATATATTACTATGTATTCATTGGGCCACCACGACTATATATATACCCACTCCGTGACTGTACGAGCGACGACAAGTCCGAAATCCCACGGGGGTACAAGGGTGTGTGTGTATGTGCACAGCCAGCAGGTTCTCCCTCCTTTCCGTCTGTCATTGTCGGCCAGACGCTTTGCGCAAATTATCCGGAGGATCCTCGACGGAGATTAATCAAGACAAAGCCTCTCGGCACACCCGTAACCTGCACCCACCGCTGCAGCTCTTGCCGTATGATGGTTATACGTGCCCTCCTCGCTGTACGGATGGGTCCTTGGTTTCCTTTTTTTTTTTTTTTTTTTTTTTTTTCCACGACAGAGATTAATACGAATTTTTCGTCATTGATTAATACCAGGGGGAGAGGGGCCAATCCTCCCCTGCGACTGTTGGAGTTTCTTCTTTTTTTTTGTTTCGTTTAATTTCCAAAGGGGCACTGTTGTCAGTCACCCGATATTAATGCATTTACAGCCTTGGTCCCAGAGGATCGGCCCTCTCCGGTACGTAGAAGTGTGACGACAGTTCACGTTTCACGCGGAATAAAAGTAACGGAGGTCTTGTAAATAATACAAAAGTATATAGAAAGAGGGAGAGGGAGGGAGATGTCTCGGACACGTGAGAGAAGAGGGACGGCAAAAATTGCAGTCCCTCGGCTCTTTTTCAGCGTCGCCGTTGTCGTCGCCCGACCACCACCGATAAGTAGCCTTTTTTCGGATAAGTCTCCCTTCGCGTCCTACGATCTCTTTCATTCTGTCGTTGGACAAAGAATTCCTCCCGCTCGCTCTCTCTCTCTCCCCCCGTACGGATTCATTCGTCATTCCAGAGGCGCAACGACGACGTTTCCGGCTGACTCGTACCCACCCCCTGGCCCTCTGCAGCTAAAGAATAGACCGGGAGGAGCCGCAGCAATTAGATGGAGGACTGAAAAGAGCCCCCCCCCCCTGAGATCTCCTGCGTCGCGCACGGACATTGTCCACGAGGGCTATATACCGCGTTAACTCCCTGCTGCTGATGTCCCTCCCCTTTTCTTCTCCGGGAGGCTTTCTTCTGCGATCTTCGACTCTCGCCGAGGGTTTTTTCTTCTTCTCGAAAGAATCACCCACACTACTACACCCCTTTTTTTTTCGCAACCGAGGAGACAATGGATGTTTCGACATTTTTATTCGCTTTCATCGCGGTGATTATGCTCGTTGTCGCTATTGTAATTGGGGTGTACTCATTTGGTACGGAGGCTGCGACTTTCGGAGGGATCTGAAGATTTTTTTCCATTGATCCGGAGATGAGGTTCGTTAAGTTATTGTTTTCTTTCGTGAAATTTAGGAATTCATGTATCAGTTTTTGTTACGTATCGAAAAATAAGTATAGGGGAGAAAATTAAACAGGTATTTCGGTGCAGGATTTTATTGTTTTTCCCAAAGTTACGTTGTTTCATAAAGTATAGCGTAAAATAGTAGTTCTCCTACGATTTTGAAAAGTCTTTGTTTGCGAACCGAGAGGTTTGCGGCCCGAGCCGAAGGCGAGGTCCGTAACAAGGTTCATAAAGGAGACTTTTCGAACGAGTATCGGAAAACTGCTTTTTTGCCCGAGGAAGTACCAGCCTTCCAAAACCACCCGAGGGCGGAAAAATATATTTGCAGTAAAATAACAATCTAAATATGTAGTAGCATTGTTGTGCTTCAATTTTTTTAAAGGATAACTTTTTTATTTTTTTTTTTAGTATTGAATTACACCAACAATAAATTTTATCAATTGATTAAACTAATCTGAATAAAATTTCCATTTCTGAACTAAAATAAGAAATAATCAATAAATCGATGCGGCGCAGTACGTGGTGTACATTTTGCGTTCCTGACACATTGACATGATACGTCAAAAATAATTACTTTGATATTTCAGAGCACCACCGACATATAGGTACGATACGTATGGATTTCCTAACGATCCCTCGAAAAAAGGCGCGCGAGGCAGTAGAAGTTTTTTTTTTTGTTTTTTCACCAACGCAGCTACCAATTATTTTTGCTGTTAGCCTCGCGGCAGAGTATAACAAGAGCAAGTAGCCGAAATGGATAAAATTGCAAAAAAAAAAGAAAAAAAAAAAAAAAAGAAAAAATATAGAAAACATTCACAGCGTACCTGATAAAAGCGTAGCCCTTGTCTTTAAAAACTCGAATTTCCTGGATCGAGCCAAAGGGCGAGAAGGTCTTCTGCATGAGCTCCTCCGTGAGGCCATTAGTCAGGCCTCCGCAGTAGACGGTGCAATTGGTCGGGCTGCTCTGATTGTAAACCTCGTCGAACGTCAGTGGCTTCGCGTTCGCTGCAAGCACAGACAGAGAAGGGACGTTTGATGGTCAGAATAAAACTTTTTGTCTTCGTTATGCCGTTTGGCTTATTTCTTTTTTTTATTTTGCTTTTTTCAAGAAAACAGAAAAATCATTGCAATCAAGTTGAAAAAAATACACGTTACAGATAGAAAAATTCATCGTGATATTTAAAAAAATAGTTGAAAATTTTTTTTATTGCAATTACAGTGGCCCAAAAAAACTGGAATGATTTTTTTTACCACGCGTTCGTAAGGCAAGCGTCATGAACGTGCAATCACTTGAAGCCTTATAGATTCTGGCCTTTAAAATTTACTTCTAAATGTAGTCTACACTTCTAGTAAGACACTTTTTTTTATTTTTACTTGATTCTAGTGGCCCGAGCCAGAATATAAATTTTTTAGGCCACGCTTATCGTGATATTTTAGATTAGGGAATTTTATCAAAATTGATTTTATGTTTCCAGCCCTCNATATTAAACTATTTTATTCTGAAAAAATACAGTAATAATAGAAAGATATATTTACACAAATATTCAAATAAATCTTTGTAACATAACATACATATATATATATATGTATACTCTAATTAATAAAAGGTAATAAATTATTATTCAGCCTCTAAACTTTATTGTGTTAATTATATTATTAAAATGATCATGTAGAAATTGCTTTTGTATTTACAATATTTTTTATGACTATATTTTAAATAAAAAAATGCTTACTCGTTGAAGTTAATTGGTATCTAGTAGAGAGTTATATTTTCGTTTCTTTGAAAATACTGAATTTTAATAACACTTGAGTAACAAACAATTGTCAAAACTATTGTAGTTATACGGACTCACGATTCAAAAGCCCTAGTAATACAGTAAAATACAATGAAAAGAGTCTAGTGTATTAAAAATATTTTCATTCATCAGGCGATTTAAATACTCAGTCGATCGCCTTAAACCCCCTAAAAACTACAAAATATTCAACGACCCAAATAAAAAATTGTATTAATAACCAGCAGACATAGATACTATAGTTTTTCTAATAACACAATTTTTTATATAGGCTTGATTTTTTCTATTTATTGCTCTGCTTATCAAGTAATACGGTAATTGACCAAAAATTTTCCAGAAAAAATATTATATGAAGGTTTATTATAAACTGTTGAAATATTTTAAATAATTTTTTTCATTTGTTTTCTTTTTCAAAATCTGTTACTTTATTAGCTACTATTACTGAAAAAATATTTTTTGAAGTACTACGTTAAAAGTAGTAATAAATAAATAATTTGTCAAACACGGATAGTGTATTACATTTTCAGAAAAATGTTGTAACGCAAGGTATTGTAAAAAGTATCCATGTCCGAGTTTGCAAACCGAGAGGACTAAAAAAAAAAAAAAAATTTCAACGCAACTCATCACACGATTGATGGTTTCGAGCACTTAAACTCGAGTAAAACACACCTCACCCACTATAAAATCAAGGCGCTATCAATCTCGTCCTTATTAAATATTCCATCTTGGCTCAATTTCTTGCAAGGGCTGTCAGAGGAAAATAAACACGAAGGAAGGAGATTCACGGCAGAGGGAGGGAAGGGTATAAAGAAATACTTCCTCGCGGAGGGTTACCCGTTTCTTTCGCGATATCGGCGTGGCAGTCGCTGAGCTAAGTTTACGATCATTTTCACGAAGCTCAGCCTCGGTCATTCAAAATCAGCGATCTTACCTGTGAATTTTACGGGCAACTCTACTTTGCTCATCACTCGTCTTATTTTTTAGATTTAAATTTGTCGGCCATCCGTGGAAATATTTTTGCTCATAAGAAATGTTAAATCGCGCGATGATGGGCACCGCGGTATTTTTAAGTAAAAGTAATAAAAAAGTTTTATTCTATTCTTCACCCACTTTTTTATGTATTCCATCACGGGGTGGCCATGAAAATACGTTAGGGCCCATCATAACTTTTTCATTTTTACTAAAAGCCTCTATAGCCACAAATTACGTCGGACGTAAAAAAAAAAAAAAAAAAAAAAGAAAGAAGTTTTTTTTACTTAAAATCTCTACTATGGCCCTCTCGATTCGAAAATGTAGTTTTCAAGACCCTGTACCCATACGACAAAGAGATTAAACATCACGAGGATGTTAACACGGCAACAACGAAAAAATGTCCCTTAAAACCGATTCCCCGCGCCACATGAGCCGAATTTCGTTTTTACCACCACCCTCTGCACCCCCTACGTCTTACACGAGTGCGCGAGGCTTTTCTTCCCTTTTCTCCAGCTCTCCTTCACCGCGTCCACTCGAAAGAAAATCGAGTTGCCTCTCGTGGGCACGATAACTCGCGGCAGATTTTGCCAGGGCTTCTGCAGCTATACCTCGGTTCCTTATAAAAGAGAGAAGGGCAGGAAAGAAAAAAAAAAAAAAAATAGAGTCGGACGGAAGCCCCACGGGCGACTTCTTTCCAACCCCTTTCGCGATCTCGTCTCTCTTTATTATTTTTAACTTCTCGTCCCTCCTCCTTTATCCTTTTTCGCATTTGTACTCGTGTCGCTGCCCGAACCGCGGGAACTTTTAATTTTTCCCTTCACGTTAAAAACTTTGGAAAAACTTTCGACTCACCCCCCCCCCGACATCGTATTAATTCAATTATCAGTTTGATGTCCAAGATGGTACCTCTTAATTTCACGAGACGAGAAAACCCATTTTCGGCCCCTTCGAACTTTACTTTCTGCGCACGGCCATCGGTTCAATTTTTTTTGCACGCCCTTTTAAATTTCAACAGCGAGGCTGGAAAAAACACGGAAAAAAGGGAGTCTGGGTGATTAGAAATTTGATCAAAGTCCATCCTGGAAGGGCTGATTGGCTCCGAGGTGATTCACAAGTGAGAAGAAGAGACGGGCTTTGCGCGCGAGAAAACGAAAGAGGAAAAAGGTATTAAGCCGGTGGTAAACGAAGGGAGGGAAATGGTAATAGGAGTAAACTTTGCAGGCAACGGACGATCTCTGATGGGATAAAAAGTGCATAAACGGATTAAGCCCCCCAAGGGGGGGGGGGCGGGAAAATGGAAGGGCACCTTTACGCTTCCCGTAAATAAGAGATACGACCTATTTGGCTTTTACGATTGAAACAATTACGCCTCCGCGCGTCGAATCCAAGTTAAAAGTTAACTCGGGCTATCGCAAGTCGAGCTTTCGCGACTTGGGCATGGACAATTTTTTTTTTTTATTGCTACTTTTGTTAGGGTACACAGCAAAATTCTACTTGTATCGCACTGTTTTTCAAATACGAGAAAGTTTTATTCGACCCTTGTATCATGAAATAAATGTTATGTTTTAAAGTGCTTGCGAAAATCAATGAAACAATAACCAGACACAGCTCCTCGCTGTTAATAACAAAGTAATAAAAAAAAAAAAAAAACTAAAAAAAAAAAATGTACGGCGTATAGTAATGAAAAGAAAATTTTGCTCAATGGATGTGCCCGCGATTGACAATAAACACAGCGTCAGGGACGCGGGCAGCTAATTAATAGAGGACGCGCGGAGGTACAACATCAGGCCGATGCGCGCCGACAGAGGCGAGGAGCGGCTCATTAGCCAACTGATTAGCCGAGCGTGGCCATCGGCCAAACTCCCCCCCTCTCCCGCGCGCGCTCATTGCAGCAACCGCAAAACCGATGAGGCCTCCGACACCTGACATNTTAGTATTTTTACAAGACTGTATATCTAGGGTTAATTTTAACTGCAATATATCTTACAAAGAAGCAATATTAATTATCATGAAGGATTTAAAAGATTAAAATTCATGATCATTTATTTTTTGTTTATTTATTCTTTGTGGTATTTTATGAATTTTACACCTAAATTATTTGTCATTTATCTAACTACGTTTTAAAAATAAAGAAAATGTGTACTCATTCAACAATGAACATAATTCTACAATCGCCTACATTCACCCATGCTTTGAAAAATTACAAAGGATCAAAGAAAAAGCTCTTTTATCTTATAAAAAAAGGTACAACATCAGGCCGATGCGCGCCGACAGAGGCGAGGAGCGGCTCATTAGCCAACTGATTAGCCGAGCGTGGCCATCGGCCAAACTCCCCCCCTCTCCCGCGCGCGCTCATTGCAGCAACCGCAAAACCGATGAGGCCTCCGACACCTGACATGCCCGGGACGCCCAAACACGTCCGAAATTGCGCCCTGAGCGGTTTATGCCCTCTAATGCTCCATTGTCCGCTTTGAAATCGATCGTTCCTGACCTATATCGCTCCGGTCCCCCTTCGGTCTTCTCAGCCGCTTGATTTGCAATTATTGCCAGATCGCTGTCGCGGAACTTTGCCATCGTTTCGCGTTGTTTTTTTTTTTTTTTTTAAGTTTTTTTTTTTTGGACTCACGGCTCTTTCTGGTGGGACTTTGAGAGGATAAATGAACAAACTAATGAATATGAATTTAAAATGATTCCTTGCGATGAAAACAATGTCGTGATCCACTGAAATAATAGCTCAACTCTCGTTGTGTATACTTTACCATTTACTACGCAGTCTGTTACTCTGACATTTCTTGGGCGATTAAAAAAAAAAAAAAAGATCGAGAAAAGAGAAATGTAATTATTTTGTTCGATAAGTTGGTAAAATTTTGGATCTATAACTTTACGGTTGTCTGAAAAATTATTTTATATCTTCCTCGTATCCAGCATTAATTATCCATCAAGTAATCATGTAACTCTTTTTCTGATCTTCATTTAAAAATTGCAATAAGTTCTTGTACAATTTCTATTTCATAATTCAAATTTACTACCATACACTATGTTTTTTAAAACGATTTTTGCCAATAAGTCTTTGCACATAACTTATCTACATTTCAAGGATTTTTTTTCTACGTAAGTGTGAACTTACATTAAATAGAATTATAAATTTACAGAAAAAGAGTGGATTTTTGCGAAAAAAAAACTTTCAACATTTTGCTGATAACTCCCGTGTGAATATGAACAATAAAATTATAAAAGTGT